GGCCTTTCTTTGTGGCTACACCCAATCTCCCAATTCTTCTTTACCAGTAACCTAGCCTAGACCTCCCTTTGTCCCCTGACCACTTTCTACCTTTAATCCTATCTAGGCTCCATTCTCCTTTTGCCACCCCTGGAGTTCTATCACCTTACAGACTACTTGGCCACTCCTAGATCCCTCCCATAGTCTTTCTGTATATAAGGTCCATCTTATCTCCATTAAGATGATCTGATAATCTAACCACTGCTCAGATATTTACAATCTAAACCTCTAGACTTCATCAATAACACAGCCAGAATTTGTCAGAGGCAAGACCTGAACTCCGGATGCCCCTGAGTCAATTTTCATTTAATAATCAGTTATGGATATATCACTATTCTCCATGAAGGATATGACCTATATCATTCCATCCAGGAATCAACCAGGGAAGCAGGGCCTATCAATATATCTTGTCATCTGCCTGGTCACTAATCAATCCCTCCATGGCAGACTAGACCTTTACAGATCATTTTCCCCCAACTATCCCCCTTCAAAGGAAAAAATTCTCTCTGCTTTGGGATTCTGCTCCAGGATTAGGAGTTCTTGAATGATGGGGGATTACAAACTTATCTAACCCACTATCTATAGTCAACCAACCCTCTATGTTTCACATTCTATCTAATCATTTACCAGGAAACCAGGACTTACTCTGGCATCTTGCCATTTATATCCCACTTTCCACCTCTGGCTCTGGGAAAGAAATCAAATCAATATTATCTTTGTTCCTTAAAAGAGCATGACAATCGACTGCTCTATGGCTCTGCAACTCCTCAGACCAATATTCTCTTCTTTAGCCAACACTATGCATTATCTTCTCCTGTTAGAATGGAAACTCCTTGAGGGCAGGGGCTATCTCATTTTTGTATATGTATCCTCTAACACAGTGCCTTACACAGAGTAGGCACTCAATATTTTTTTTCATTCATTCATTCACCCTCCTTCAATGCCTCATTGTAGCATAGATGTGACTCCTGGGTTCATAAATGTTTGAAGAGCAAACTAATAGGTTCTTCCTACCAGTCCAGAAGGACAGTGAATGAGAGCCTCCCCATGAATTGTGCAAGGCTGTCATCTGAAAACCAACAAGCAAACTTTAACAAGGCTCATCAGAAAGTGAATTTCTGACCACAGTCACTCATGAAGACCATCTGCTAAAGCATAAAAGTCATTGGGGGGGGGGGAGGATGTGCAAACTGATAAAATCCCAGCTCCTTTGAGGCAATGAACAATGCCTATAGCCAGGGGTGTGATGCTAAATGTTTAACAACCGACTCTCCATAAGAAAAAAAAAGTATACTTGATACACTTTTAAATTTAATCTGCAGTGACATTTTCTCCATCATTTTCTTAAGTCTAGACAATCAACAAAAACAATAAATCAAGCCCTGATTTGTAGCATTTGCCAAGGTATAAATGCTCACACTGAAAATTTAACAGTAATGCATGCTCCTCTACAGCACCACAGATTAATAGACTCCTGCAGTCAGAAGGGATCCTGGAAATCATTTAGGCTAAGCCCCTTTGTTCTACAGAATAGGGATCAGAATCTCACAGAGGTTGTGTGATTTGACCTGGGTCCCACAGCAAGGAGATTAGAAGGGATACTTTATAAGGTACAGGGAAAAGTAGCAAGACCACAGGACTAGAAAACTGGGCTCCTGTCTTAATTCTGCCACTAATTTGCTGCACAACATTGGGCAAATCAGTTATTTGCCCTGTGTCTTATTTATCGTGTCTTTGAAACGAGGACAGTGAGGCCACAAGGAATGGTGAATAAAGAGCTGGCTTCTGGAGAGTCAGGAAGACCTGGATTTAAGTCCAACCTCTGATACCTACTGGCTGAATGACCTTGGTGAAATCACTTAACCTTCTTGCCCCAGGTAACTCTCAAGATTCTGATTTGCAGAGCAGGTGCTGATTTGCCCGGGGAGAAGAGAGTTTTCTCTGTGGGAATTTCCTAATCCAGTGAAATCACAGTTCCTGTGCACCCTTAAAAAATGTAGGGAGCTAAAGTAGATTACTGATAAGATTCTTGTTTGCACTAACATCCTATGTTCTATGGTGCCTTCCATTGGAATGTCTTGTGTTCCAAGATTCCTTCTAGCTCTAACATTGTTTGAGAGTCTTTTCCAGCTTTAATATTTAACGTATTTGCCTATTGTGTTGGAGGCAACAAAACCCATCCTTCTGGTTTAAGCCCTAGATCATAAGAGTCAAAATTTTGGAGCCAGCAGGCACGCCCCAAAAATCTGAAAATGATTCATCAGCTATGTTGGCAATTGCCCTGGGCTCCAATTCTCATTGATGAAGTACAACTTTACAAAAGGGAAGTGATGTGTTTGATCTCCTCCCCGGCAACCTTCAAATGGCTAATCTGGCTGTGAGTGGCTGAATTATCATAGGATCTTAGAGCAAGGACTGGAAGGGACCTCAGAGAACATCTGGTCGAACTCTCATTTTACAGAAGAGGAAACTTGGTCTCAGAGAAGCAAAATGATTTGTCTAAGGTCACATAGCTCATAATGACAGAAGAGGGATTTGACCCTCAGTCTGTTGACCTCAGATTATAATGCTATTCCGCCCTTGCTCTGTTGCCATATCCGAAGTATCTCATTCAGAGAGCAGGCTGCACTGTTATTCAGGCTGGGGAAGAGTGAGGAGACAGATGTCATTCAAGCTTTCCTTTGGAGCATTCTGCAAACAATTCCCCATGCTCTCAGATAATCAAAGAGGGGCTCAGGTGGCAGAATTGAGCACATGGGGATGGATTGAGGTCTGTGCCATCTACAGGGGAGGTGAACCTCATTTCATGGCCCTTAATAGGGGACTGTAGCTCTGGGGGACCTCAGTATCAGAGAGGGAAATTAAAATGGCATATATCCTGCTGAGAAAGCAGTCAGGAAAATGAATAGACCTATTCAGGAGAGGCTTCTTAGACCTACTGTGCTCATCTTCTGGATGGTAACAAGTGACAGTAATTGCAGGCTTTGGACAGAGTCTCATAGGGGACTGAAGGCAACCCATAATCAACGCTTCTTTGAGGCCCTGGCTCCAGAAGACAATGTCAAACTGAATTATTCATACTGACTCCCCTCCTTAGCTACCTCTTAAACAGCTACCAATGGGATTTGATGGGCTCCTACTGTGTAATTAGCAGGAGGATAAGGAATTCTGAATGTGGGAGTAAAGTTAGTGGACTCAGCACAAAGATGACAAGGATATCAATTTTGGGCTGGATCAGCTATTCTCTTTAAGGCATCCCTGGGAAGAATGGACCTATAGTTTGACCACTTCCAAAAATAATACTAGGTCAGATCCCTCAAGACTGTTACAAACCCTAGTGTACCCATTTCACAGATGAAGGAACTGAGGTACAGAGAGGTCTAATGACTTGCTTGCTATCACCTAACAGCCAGTAAGCGACAGAGACAAGGTTTGAAACATTCTAGGCCATTACGTCATGTATCTAACAATAGTAATGCAAATTCAAATAACACTTTACAAAGTGTTTACAATCCTGACAATTCTGGAAGGCTCCAGTACAAGGATTGTTGTCTCCATTTTAAAGATAAAAAGACAGAAGCTCAGAGGTAAAAATGACCTGCCTACTGTCACATAGCTAAGAGCAGGACTTGAATCCAGGTCTTGTGACTTCAAGTTCAGTCCCATTTCCTTAAATCGTACTCACTCTCTTCTATCAATACCTCATTCATTCATTCAATAAACATATATTAAATGTTCACTATGTGCCAGACAGTATGCTAAGTGCTGGATATCACAGCTCAGGTTCAACATGTCTAAAACAGAACTCATCGGAACACATCGTAATTTCCCCTAAACCCACCCCTTCTCCAGATTTCCGTATTTTTGTTGAGGGCAGTCACATAGGTTCTAAACTTTGAAATCATCCCTGCTTCTGCTTGGCCACACTGTTCACATCTATCCAGGTCCCAAATTTTATCAATTCTACTTCCACACCATCTTTCAGATCCATTCTCCTCTTTCTAATCATGTTACTCTAGTTCAGGCCCTTATCACCTCTCACCTAGAAGACTGCACTCTAATCTCTTGGCCCCCAATTATTTTTTTTCTCCAAATCTACTGGCCACACAGTTGTCAAGTTAATATTCCTAAAATACCCTTGCTCAAAAATCTTCAAGGTTCTCTATTATATCTAGTATCTCTGTCAGCCTAGCCGGTGTACTAGCTGTTCCTGAGGTCAATTCCATCTCTGCATCTTTGTACCAACTTGCCTCCCCCACTTTGCCTAGGAGCTCCTTCCTTACCTCTCTCTGATTCGAATTCCTAACCTCCCCCTGGACTCAGCTATCCTGCTACCTTCTGGGTGAAGCCTTTCTTGCTTTTTCCAGGACGCTGTACAAGGATCAAGGATGGATTTATCTACGTATACCTTCTCTCCTTCAGCTAAAATGAGAACTCCATGAAGTTTAGGATTATTTCATTCCTCTCTTTTCCCAGTACCTAGCACAACGCTCAAACACGGTAAGTGCTTAACTGAATTAACCATTTAATTTAATTAAGCATGCTCCCAGCTTGTTAAATTGAATTGTTTGTAGAGCACTCATATTTCCAAAGTGCTTTATTCCCACTTTATTCAATTAATCCTCCCAACAGCAATGTTTCTGTATCCCCATTTTATGGATAAGAAAAATGAGGTTCAGAAAGGCTTAAGGACTTGTGCAAAGTCATTAGCGAATGAACTGAACCAGGATTTAAATCCAGGATTTTCAGTTTCTGAGTCCAGTGTTTTTCCATTATACCAAGCGCCTCGTTCCTCTTCCACATTCACAGATTTAAAAAAAAAAATGATTGAAAGAAACTCAATCTCCCCTCTCCCTTACTTTAATCCCTGGACTTGAGAGAGAAAGAGAAAGGCTGCGTGTAATATCGGGTCACTCCGACCTCTCAGCTGTGGCTTTTGAAACAATAAAAGCGTTTCTCACCATCCATCAACACCAGCTTTCTGCAGCTCTGAGATCCCAAAGGACAAGGACCCCATGAAGTCATTCCTGCTGGTCAGATCCCAATCCCAGATCTCCACAGAAAGTCGTCTGTCTTTGTCCGACTCTTTCAGTTGACTACGAAGGAGAAAAAAAAAAGATTTCCGCAAGACGTTGTTTTACATTGTGAAGATGACAATCATAATGATTTATATCTCTACAGGGTTTTAGGCTTACAAAGTACTCTTTCACAATCACTATATTGAGGCAGCTATGGTTCTCCCCGTTTTATAGACACGGTAGTTGAGAAATGAGAGAGAGGTAAGATGACTACGATTAGCCAAGTCGTCTATACAGCTAATAAGTGTCACAAGTTCTTTCAACTTCTGTACTTCCTGGACATTTCCCAGGCAAGTTACAAAGAACAAGAAGAAGTATGTGCAGAGACTTTTTTGATGACCTCGTCATCCATCCATTAAGGCCCTCATCTTCTACAGCCTCTTATCTCCTAGCGCTTTAAGTAAACTTGGAATGTACTACTGCTGCCAGGAATGGTGCAAAGTGGGGCCTACCATGGGCATATTACTAAATTATAAACTTGATAGTTTCTAGATAAATGCATCACCCCTGGTTAGAGAAATTGTAAACCAAGCAAGAGTAGAAGAAGAGAAAGAATGCTGGGCTTGGACTCAGGATCTGAGTTCAAATGCTGGTTCCACTACCTAACATGGTGTGTCATCTTGGGTAATTTTCACAGGATTTTCACCTATGAATAGACCTTAGTGATCAACTCACCCAAACTCTGTAGAGTTTCCCAATATGTTAAATAAGAAGATTGAATTAAATAATCTCTAAAGCCCTTTACAATTCTGAATTTGTGATGTTAATCTGAACCTGGGAATAGGGGGGAGGAGAGGGTGGAGAATACTGCAAATGTGGAGGACTGATCACGTATGGAAGGTAACTAAGGAAGTCTGGGAAGGGTTTTAAAGGAGAAGAGGAACTAGGGTAGGATTTAGGCAAAGTGAAGAAAGAGAAACTAAGAACAACAACACACACATACACATGTACACACACACACATATACACACACATACATGTGTATACACGTTTACATGTGTGTGTCTATACATGCACATATATGGGCATGTATATACATATATACACATACACACACATATACATATATGTATAGAAAGAAAGAGAGAGAGAGGAAGAGAGAAAAGAAGAAAGAGAGGAAGAGAGAAAGAGAGAAAGAGAGGAGAGGAGAGAAGGAAAGGAGAGAAGGAAAGAAAGGAAGAAAGAAGGAAAGAAAGAAAGAAGGAAAGGAAGGAAGAAAGAAGGAAAGAAAGAAGGAAAGAAAGAAGGAAAGAAAGAAAGAAGGCTGGCTTGAGAGCCAGGAAGATTGGAGTTCAAGTTCTGCTTCTAACATATACTAGCTGTGTGACCCTGAGTAAGTCACTTAACTTCTCAGTACTCTATATGTCTCTCTAAAAGCATGAATTGAAGAGAAGGTGTTAACTGGCATTGATCGATAAAGATCTTCACCAGGAATTCCCTCTACTAATGAAGCTACAGGTTTCATCTTTATCCCTATCTTTCAAGAAAAAGGACACATGGAGTATGCCTAAGGCATCATTATGGCAATGGCAAAGCAGATGAGATTGGAAACAGTTAAACCAGGAATCTGCACTAGCCATCTATGGGACTATTAAAGAATATTTATTTTTAGATTTTATAATTTCACAGTCTGTGTTTGTTTTGTTTGAGCTTTTCATATTGTCATAATAGAAACACAATGTACAGAACAAAGAAAATGATTGCCCTAAATTCTCTACTCTGTCGTGACCAGACCATATTTAAAGCACTGGGTCTGGTTCTAAGAACTATGAGTAGGACAAACAATAGCAAGGTGGATCATGTCCAAAGGGGAGGGATTTTGTTTTGTTCTGTTTTCTAAAGTGGAAATCAAACTCAGTATGAGTCAACAGTGTGATGTGCATACAAAAATGTGACTGTGATCCTGGGCTAAATTAACAAAAACATTGCAACTAGAACAGGCGAATGTCCCATTGAATGTATTATGTCTGGTTAGATCACATATCTGGAGTATTATGTTCGACTCTAAGCAGCAGATATTTGGAAAGAGCTTGACATTCTGGAAAGCATTCAGGTGAGGGTCTTCAGAATGGCTAGTGACCTGGAGACCCTAGTTCAAGTCCTCATCACTTCTGGCTTGTAATAACCTGCTACCAGTCTGTACCCTCTCAGGACCACATTCCATTTACTTTGTTGTTGTTCAGTTGTTTTCACCCCATTTGGGGTTTTCTGGACAAAGACACTGAAGTGGTTTGCCATTTCCTGCTCCAGCTCATTTTACAAATGAGGAAACTGAGGGAAACAGGGTTAAGTGAGTCCAGGGTCACATAGCTAGTAAGTGTCTGAGGCTAGATTTGAACTCAGGAAGATGAGTCTTATTGACTCTAGGGCCAGCACTCTATCCACTGTGCCTCCTAGGTGCCCTTCCACTAACTTGCCATTTCCCAAAACACAGATCTATCCATACCATTCCCCTACTCAAAACTTCCATCATTCTCTCTTGACCATAAGATAAAATGTAAAATACTAGTTTGAGACCACAAGTAAATTTCATAGTATTCAGAGTTTTGGAGGGATCTTAGTGACCAACTCGTTTGAACTCTGTAGATTTTAGTTTCCTAATCTAGAGAAAGGGGAAGTTGAATTAGACAGTCTCTAAAATCCCTTCCAACTCTAAATCTAGAACGTTAATCTGGTCCTGGAGAAAGTAGCTAGAACTTTCTAAGCATGGCAGACTGACAATAACTAGAAAGTGATCCAGAAAGCTGGGCATGTAAAGACCTCCGCAATCTAGTTTCCATCTTATTTCATATTATTTTCTTCATACATTCATGCTTCCAGTCAAACTGGCCTACATATGACATCTCTCACTTGTGTCCTTTGCACAGGTGGTCTCCCATGTCTAGATTATACTACTTCTTTACCTTAGCCTCTATCAATGCTTAGATTCCTTCCACAGATCGTGTGCCACTGATATGAGAACCTATACGAGGCTATTTATTTATTTATTTATTTATTCATTCATTTATTATTCCCAATCCCCTCTAGGTACTAGTGCCCTCACCTTCTTGAAATTATTTTGACATTCTGTATTACCTTATCTCTGTGCATATGTTATTTCTTTCAGTTGAACAGAAGATCCTTGAGGTAGATTTTGTTTCATTTTTGTCATTATATCCCAAGAAAAATGATTATCAAATAGGACTTAATAAAAGTTTGTTATACTGAAATGTAAAGCCATACAGGGATTGGTGGAAGTGATTGGAGATGTTTTAATTAGAGATGCAAAGTCTTAACAGGAGACACGATGGGTGTCTTTAAGTATCTGAAAGACTGTCAAGTGGAAAAAAAAATATCACACTTGTTCTTTCTTGGCCCAGAGTAAAGAATGAGAAACAATGAATGAAAACTCCAGGGAATAAGTTTAGATCTGGAATAAAGAAAAACTTCTGAACAATTAGAACTACCTAAAAATGGCATAGACTGCCTTAAGAGGTAGTGGTAGTAGAGACAGAGCCATTGTAGGTCTTCAAGAAAAAGGCTGGATGACTGTTGTTTGGGGATATGGTGAAGGAGGTTCTTAGTTACAAAGAAATTGGACTAGATTTCCTTCAAAGTCTCTTCCAACTCTGAAACGCTGTGAATCTGTGGATAGCAACGAGGATGGCAAAGAGAACAAGTCATATCAGGAATTACTGAAGGAAAAGAAAATATTTGACCTGGAAAATAGAAGACATAATCACCATCTTCAAATACTTGAAAGATTACCATTTGTAAGGGGCCTTATATTTGTTTTGTTTGGGGACAGAAGAAAGGACTTGATAAAACTTCAAACAAGGCAAATTGTTATATTCCTCACAAATAGAATGGTCCAAAATTGGAATGGGTTTCCTCAAGAGGAAGTAATCTCCACATCCTTGGAAATATTCAGGAGGAGCAAGGGTTGAACTGTTCTTTGGGGATGGAATAGTTAGGATTTCTGTATCAATAAGAGGTAGGACTTAAATGACCTCTGAGTTCCTCCATCTAGCATGACAGGTACTAATTCTAAGAGTTAATAAGGTCCCTTTGAAAAACCCAACCTCTCTCTCAAGTGAACTAGGAGGGAAGAAGAGAGGATCTCCCTGCTTAGGACAGGAAGATCAAGGGGAATTAGAAAATAAATCTTAGAGGCCAGGCACAGACTGATAGAAATAATATTGTAAAAACACACAAAAGAGAACATAATCCCTGGAGTTTTGGAGGGTAGACAACAAAAGTTGAACAAAAAAAAAAGAGCTCATGGAGCTCTCACATTGGTTGAGAACATATACCAGAGTTACACAGAATGAGAAGATGGGAATGGATTGCAATGTGGGAACCCATGTCAATGAGAAATCATGACTATTGAGACATAGGACAAACAGTCAGAGAATAAGAGGAAAACCCCAAAGGGATTGGATTTGGCTAGTTTTCTTCCTAACACTCCATTTCCTCATAATGACCTTCTGAGAACCCATTATGGGAATGAGGAAAGTGACTTCACATCCACTGGTAAGAGAGACATCTATCATCTATTATCCAATTTGAGAAGGGGCTGAGTCCCAAATGCTTCCCTCTCTATCTTGAAAGGTATCCTTCATAGACCTAAGGAATTTAGTCCTGAGATAAGGAAACACTTACTAGCGACTAGAAATATCCAAAAATGGAACAGGCTGCCTTGAAAAGTAATGAGTTCTTCCTATTTGAGAGAAGAGCAGAGGAACCTGGCTAGGAGAAGAGAAGAGAAGGGAAGTCCCAGAAAGGAAAAGGAAGGGAAGGGAAGGGAAAAGAAAAGAAGGGAAAGGAAGGGAAGAGGGAAGGGAAGGGAGAGAGAGAGACAGAGACAGAGAGAGAGACAGAAAGACAGAAAGAGAGAGACAGAGACATAAGGAAGACAAGTTAAGAGAGACCCCCTCCCCAATCTCTCAGTGACCTGAGCCCAATCCCTACCAACCCACTCAACTAGAATGATGATACTTACAACTTAAATGTCTCATTCCACTCAGGGTTGAGGGAACACTTGATGGTTTTGGTCTTCTGCTTGCTCTCACTCTTGGGATCAGGGATGAGTTTCAGTTTCACATAAGGATCTGATAGACCATTAGGGTCCATAGGTACTAGATTTTTTGCATCTCTTACTGAAAAAAAGAAAAAGAGAGAAAATTAGGATCTGATACAGAAAAGACAAAGCAAAAACATTTCAAAGGAAAAAAAAACTTGAATATAGTGCATTTTAAAAGAATGTTTTACTACACCACTTTTGCTTTGTGTCTCTTAATAGAATGTGAAAGTATGTCCTATTCATTTCTATACATATACATAAAATACATATAAATGTGGTCTCCCTAAAAAAATATATGTTTCTTGAGGGCAAGACCTTTTTTGCCATTGTATACCTAGGACAGTGCCAGTTGCATAGTAAAAGAGCTTAATTGCTTATTAATTGCCTTATTCCTGGAACAATTGGAGACAAATATCACAAGGACTAAGGCATGAAAGAAACCTTCCAGGGGGTGGGGTGGGAGATTTGGGTGGAAACCAAGGGATGGACATTGTTCTGTGAATAAAGGCAGAAACCCCCAGAACACCAGCTCTCATGTGTGGAGGATGCAGGACTACACAAGGCCCTGGTGGAGAGCCGACAGATGCTTTGAGAGAGGAGGAAGAGGATATAAAGGTTTTGAACCCTCTTCTCCCCAACAAACCCCTCAAAGAAAGCAGAAAAATGTTAGACCTCAAAGTAATAATAGGAGCCATATAACTCAATTCCTTCATTTTGTAAAGAGGAAGCTGAGCCTTCAGAGAGAAGTCACTTGGACAAGGCTTATTCAATTCTTATTGAAACTGAGGCTGAAATGGAGTCAAATGGAACAATCTCATAGAGTCTTATATTATGATGTTAGACAGCATAATGGATAGACCACCAGACTTGGAGTCATGAAGACCTGAATTCATATTTTGCCTCAGACACTTAATAGTTGTGTGACCCATTTAAGTCACATAACCTCTCTCAGCCTTAGTTTTCCTCATCTGTAAAATGGGGATAATAATAGCACCTATTCCCAGGATCACTATGAGAATCAAACAAGATAACACGTACAGAGCACTTAGCAAACCTTAATAAATGCTAACTTCATTTATTATTGTTATTGTTACTATTACTATGATTATATGTGGGAAGAAACTTCAAGATCGCTTTATCTAAACCCCTCATTTTATAGATGAAGAAAAAGAGGTCATGTAAGAACTGGGATTTCCTAGAAAGCCTGGTTTCCTAACTTTCCAGTCCAGAACTCTTTCAGCCAGATTGCTGAAATTTGACATTTTGAGATATGGCCAAGGCTCCCTTCAGGGTGCTTGGTCTCATGACCCAGGACAAATAGCTGAATGGGAAAGAGGCTATCTCCTCCATCCTTCCCAGGCTCCATCTGGCCCCAAGCTCACCTATCCCAGTGAGGGCAGCCAAGCAGCCTACTCTGGCTGGCAACAAGGGCATTGGGAGGAGGGGGGATTTAGTACTGCCACCAGACTGTAGCAGAGTATGGTGAGGTACAGGCAGCAGATAGTCCAAACATCCATTGTTCCCATCCAGTCCCCTGGGCTCTAAATCCATCAAGCACCAGCCATGCCTGGTCTAGGCCTCCCTTCTTATTCATGAGCTGGGCCAGAGTTCCAGTCCTGATAGCCTCTGATTTCAACCTCTCTCTCTCTTCACCTGAGAGACTAAAGGCCAAATCTTATTCTCCTGTCCCTGCCATTATCATGTTGTCACTGAGCTTGGCCTCAGCTATTTTCCTAAGAAAATTTCAAGTTCTATTAGCATTCCTCCAAATTTCCTGTCCTGGGGCAGATTTTCCAAGATCAGAAAGGCCCATTTCCCAGGCCTTAGTTTTGGTTCTGTACAAAAAGACCCTCTTGTTACTGTTATATCAATGAGGTTGACAGAAGAGCAGTGTACTATCCAGTGTAGCAGTGTCATGACACACCCATGACAGCCCATTTGTCATTTTACGCACACATACACAGACTCAGATCCCAATTCAAGGAAGAAAAATGTATTTTCAGCTTAGGGAAACCACGAGAAATATCCACTTCTCCTTAAAGACTCACTACCTAATGAAGACTAAAAAGCCTGTTTGTAGATCCAGAGCATAAAAATATATCTCCTAAAACCAAGATTAATTACTACTAGCAATTCTTGATATATTAGGAGGCTGCAAGTAGGGAGGATAACATGAGTTATGTGTATGTATCATGTATATGTCAATCATATGTGATAGTATTGGTAAGTGGATGGTGCCTAAGCAACGTGTATACGTGTTGTGAGCTATATTTGTGACACAAATATAGCATTCCTATACTCCAAACTGTAGCATTCCTGGTCTGGTCCTCTATGTGTCATGTAGATGGTACATATACAGTGTATATAACATCCACAAAGATTTATTCAGTCATTTCAGTCATTTCTGACTCTGTGACCCCATTTGGGTTTTGGTTTTTTTTTGGCAAAGACACTGGAGTGGTTTGCCATTTCCTTCTCCAGCTCATTTTACAGATAAGGAAACTGAGGCAAACAGGGTTAAGAGACTTATCCAGGGTCACACAGCTAGTATCTGAGACCAGATTTAAACTCCTATCTTCCTAACTCCCAAGCTCTATCCACTGAGTCACCTAGCTGCCTATTCATAGTAAGTGCCTGTATTACGTGTCTGTTTCATTTACATGTAATAGGCATACTACGGAAAGGTCTGTATTCTGTCTAGTATGTTTGAGAAGTATATATGGGCCATATATACATAATATGCATCTTGCTAGGTGTGGATTGCCTAGCAAGGGAAAAAGAACCCCATTAGGGCTCCTTTAGACTCAATTTGCAGACTCCTCTTTCCATTCAAAGACGATTCCCTGACATTGTTCCTCCAGCCATCATTAGTCTAACACAGCCTGGTGGTACAATATAGAAAGCCTAGGGCCTGCAGAAAGACCTGAGCTCAAATCTCGTCTCAGACACTTAATAGCTATAAGACCTCAGACAAGTCACTTAACTTCTGTCTGCCTCATCTATAAAATAGGGATAATTTTGGAACCTCATCTGTAAAACAGGGAGAATAATAGCACCTGCCTCCCCAGGTTGTTCTGAAGATCAAATGACAACATATGTAAAGTGCTTTGCAAACCTTAAAATGCTATATAAATGCTAGCTACTATTATCGTCATTGTTGTTAGTGTCATTATTGTTATTATTTAAGTGCGTGATGTTCATTGCGTGCATGATAAAGGATGTGATCATATGTATGTCTATCAGTCAATATGTTAAAAGCCCGAACAGAATACCAAAAAATGGCTTGGGTAGCCAATTTTATAAATAACAGTAACAATTTACAGTTATGTAATTCTACAAGGTTTACAAAGAACTTTCTTCACATAGATATTCAAATAGACTCATGGTGTTGGTAACACAAGCATTATTAAAATCCCAGTTTTTAAAAAGAAGGAAATAGAGGTTCGGTAAAATGAAATTATTTCCATTCATTCAACAAGGCTTTATTAAATGTCTACTGTATGTCAGGCACTGGAAACTCAAAGACAAAATGAAACAATCCTTGTGCTTATGGAGTTTATATTATATTGGGGAAAACAATGGGAATAAAGAAAATTAACAAAAATATACATATATACAAAGTAATTAACCAAGGGAGGACACTAGCAATTCTGAGGAACTGGGACAGGAAACCTGAAGAAGATAGTATTTGAGGTGAAAGTTGAGGGCTCAAAAGGATGGAGATGGGGTAGGAACATTTTCCAGGCATGGGGGAAAGCTTGTACAAAGGTGAGATGGGAAATGGAATGTTGAATATAAGGACTAGAAAACAAGCAAGCTTGGTAAGAGTATCTACACCCTCCAGACAAATGTCTATGATTTTGTGATCCTATAAGGACCAAGTTCCTGGAGGAGACAAGAGGGGATAGGATCAGAGGCTCAAGTAAAAGGTCTAGTTTTGACAAAGAGAAGGTCACCTCTCCATCTGACACTAAGTGGGGAAAGAAGAAAATAAGATTATTTTAAAGTGGAGAGCTGAGAAGAGGCAGGAACTCATGACTGATATCCTCAGTGTTTTCAGTGAAGTATTTGATGAGATATTAGTCTTAGTGATGAGGACCTGCCCAATTGAGAATGTGCAACAAATATGTAATGGACCTAAGTTTCATGTGTTACTTCTTTTATCAATGTTCAGCAGTACGGGTATAGGAGCAGAGGAGGCAGACGATGGGAGTATCCCAGAGCTGGGACTTGTAAAGGAGTGAACATTGACTGGACAAAGTGGCAAGGGGTTCCAGGCCAGAGAATAAAGTTGACTTGCCCATGCCTAGTGTCAGAGCCAGGACTAAACCCTGAATTTCTGAATTTGAAATACAGTGCTATCCATACCTAAAGATCTGCAAAATTTAGCACAGACTGGAAACACCTGATTAAGGTTTAATTTTAAAGGCTCTCAAGAGGAGGAAACTGCATTTCACATCTTGTATCGAGGATTCATCACTCACCTCTAATTCACTAGAGAGCAGGCTTCCACTATCTCAGAAGAATTAGGATCAAAGCACATAATCCTAGTCATTCCAGTAAAGTAGGCAGAAAAATACGGCACTTAAAATTCAGTTTCCTAAGGTTCCCTAGGGTCTTGGACAGTGGATGCTAAATACCCAAGGAAAGGGCTGAGATTACAGAATTAGAGAAGAAGAATCACAAAATTTATGAGTTAAAAGGAACACCTTGGATTGTGGCTAGTCCTTTTCATTGAGAATCTAAGAGTTGAAGAGACTTCAAAAGCCATCCAGTCCAACAGGAGTGTGTTGGAGCCAACTTTTACTGGCTCATAAGAACTGAATGTTCATTTTTCATTATGAGCATTTGCATCTCAAAAATCAGCAAAAGCTACAAATTAGGATGTGATTTAGGAAAATGGTGGAGAAAATATTAATACTTCAGACTAAATCTAAAAGGGCGTTGTGGTTACATTTTTTCTAGGAAGCCGGTTATTAAATATTTATCTGCACATCTCATAAGTTCAACCCATACCTGACTGAGATTCCTTTTTATAACATACTCAACAAATGGTCATCAGATCTTTGCTTGAAG